GATTCCATGGACAGGCCACCGCTGTTTCAACTGGACACGGTCCAAGATTCCGTGGACAGTCCTCCCCAGTCCCAACAGGACACGGTCCAAGATTCCGTGGACAGGCCACCGTTGTCCCAACAGGACACGGTCCAAGATTCCGTGGACAGGCCACCGTTGTCCCAACAGGATACGGTCCAAGATTCCGTGGACAGGCCACCGTTGTCCCAACAGGACACGGTCCAAGATTCCGTGGACAGGCCACCGCCGTCCCAACAGGACACGGTCCAAGATTCCGTGGACAGGCCACCCCTGTCCCAACAGGACACGGTCCAAGATTCCATGGTCAGGCCACCGCTGTCCCAACAGGACACGGTTCAAGATTCCGTGGACAGGCCACCGTTGTCCCAACAGGACACGGTTCAAGATTCCGTGGACAGGCCACCGCTGTCCCATTTGGAGGCAGTGGGCGAGCCCGCGGCCGCTCGTCTTCAGCAGCGACCGGCCGAGTCGGCGGCGCCGGCGGCTTCCGAGGGGCCGTCCGGCGGGGACGGCGCTCCGGCGCCACCGCTGGCAGCGTCGCCGGCTCGCGGACCGGCGCCCTGCTCGCGCCGCAGCAGCGCCGACGTGCTGGACGGCCGGCCCAAGCTGCGACGCAGCACCAGTGGCCAAGGCGAGCCGGCCACCGATGCCGTGCTGGAGGTCATGTCGCAGGTGCACGCCGATGTAAGTTACCGTCGGCGCCGCACGCTGTGATGGCACATGTTGCGGCTTGACACATGGCCGCTCCTGCGCCCGCAGCGGCTCTCGGTATTACCTTGCGCTTCGCTATCCTACCTGGGCATGTGATTGACTTGTCGTGCATGGGGTGCTAACATTGCCCTGTTTGACTGTGTTCCTCCGCCCCGTGTAGCGTGTCCTCAGTAGCGGGTCTGGCGGAAGGTGTGATCAGGCTGTGCGGAGGCGACAGCGCGCTCCCAAGAGTGGTCCGGTGGTGCCCGGTGTGCGTCATGCCTGCGGCCGCTGGGCGCCGCCGCCCAGAGGGCCTTCTATCGGTGACGTGGCGCGGTGCTGGCTGCACGCTCCCGCCGGCCTCACGAATCACGTGACTCGTTGCCGTGAATCATGCCGCCGCGCGCCGGCCGGCCGGCGGACGGGTTGGGCCGGCCTGCCGGGAATCCTTGGGGCTGGCCTATCGGGGATCCTAGGGGTCGGTCTGCCGGGAGGTACTAGGGGTCAGCCTGTCGGGGGCCTAAGGGCCGGCCTGTCGGGAGGCCTAGCGGTCTGTCTGCCGGGGATCCTGGGTACCGGCCAGTTGGGAGATCCTGAGGGCCGGCCTGCCCGACTGCTGACCCTGGCCACCGTCCCACTGCCACTGCAGCCGGCCAATATCAGCCAGCAGCGCAGTCAGCCTGTTATAGACGAGCGCCGTGGCGCCTGGCGTGCCGGCGCTGCGCGGACGCTTTTTCCTCGCCGCCTGGCCACAATGCGCTGCGGTGTTTTGTGATCTGGACGCGGGTGCGGCGCAGTTTTTTTCGGCGGGCGGGTCGCCTTTCTCCTCGCGCCGGCGTCGGCCGGGGTTTCGCACGCTGTTTCCGTGGGCAGCGCCTGGATCCGGGCGTCTCCGCAGGCCACAGGTCGAGCGGCGCCGATGGCCGACCTTTGTCAGGCGGGCGCCAGCGACTTGGATGCCCTGCGGCCGGCCGGCGGTCAGACGGTCGGCCGGCCGGGTGCGAGCGGGCCCGCTCCGTGCGGCGCTTCTGGCGGCCGAAGCCGGGGGACGGCTGCCCGCTGACTGGCGCCGCCGCGCGCCGCGTCACCCGCTCCCGTTGTTGGCCGGCCGGCCTTGTATGGCACGTCGTGCCGACTGGCCGGCCGGCGCGACTGAGCAGGGAGGGCCGGCGCGGTGGCAGCGCCGGCCTCCCGGCACTCGGTCCGCTGAGCGGCGTCGTGACGTGAGAGGGTCGACTCGGCGCCGCTGACAGCGTGTCGTTGACGTGTGGCTAGGTTCGCCTTCCCATAGCCGGTTAGCGGCGCCATACAGAGCGGCGTAAGTCACAAGGTTTACTTCGTGCAAACTTCTTGCCAGCGAAAGCAGTTGTAAGCAGCAGAGAGCATGCGTTGTGAAATACCATCGAGGAGCGATTTTGAAACAACGTTCAGGCTCGTCTCCCCACGGACAATGAAGCGGGCGCGTTCAGGTAATAGCATGCGACGTGCGCCTGCTTGACCCGTTCCACCGGTGCTTCGTGACGTCGCATGTCACGGAGAGAAGCCCAAGGCGACTGTGCTGTGTTGGCTGAACGGCACGGAGCGTGCCAAGGACGGGCCGGCGTGACCGGTTGGCGCACCGACGACGTGACGTCTCGGGCCGTCTATCCTGTCTCGAGCCGGGCCGGGCTGGGCCGGCGCTGCGGCCGCTCACACGCGCGGCGCCGCACCGTGCCGTTGTGTGACTCCGCACTCGGCCGGGCCGGTGGCCACACGGGGCGGTTGCGGCCGCATCACCCACCGTGGGACTAGTCCCACGGCGTCTGGAGGTGCGCTGACCTCCGGAGGTGCGCCGACCTCCGGTCACACGGCGTCTGGAGGTGCGCCGACCTCCGGTCACACGGCGTCTGGGGGCGCGCCGACCTCCGGTCACACAGCGTCTGCAGGTGTGCCAATGTGCGGTCCCAGAGTGTCTACGAGGTACTCCGGCCCCCGGTACCGCAGCGTCCAGAGGTGCATCCACCTCTGGTCTTAAGGTGTCTAGGAGGTGCACTGATCCCCGGTTCCACGACGTCCTAAGGTACTCAGGGTGTCCAGTGGTACACCCATATCCGGTTGTGGTGTCCTGAGGTACAGCCATATCCGGTCGCAGAGTCTCTAGAGGTACACTCATATCTGGTCCCAGAGTGTCCAGAGGTACACCCATATCCGGTCGCAGGATCTCTAGAGGTACACCCATATGCGGTCCCAGAGTATCTAGAGGTACACCCATATCCGGTCCCAGAGTGTCCAGAGGTACATCGACGCTGTGACCGGAACGTCCCAGTCACTCGGAACCCTCCAGCCTACCTTTTCCCGGACCGCCATGTGCGACTTGGACAGGCCCTAAGTGATAGTTGCTCCTCATGGATCTGGCACTGGCGGTGTGGAGGGCATAGGCTAGTGAACCGCAAGGGCGTATGTCCAAACTGATGCACCGCGGCAGAACTGCTGGCTGGTACTGGGTCTGCGGTCCCGGCGCCAGCCTCTGTGTGGATTGCCCCTCCTCCCCCTCCACCATGTCAGCACCTCTCCGCACACTTCACGGCAGTCGTGTGATGGTGAGGGGAGGGGGAGGCGTGTCACGCGTCGACCGATCGATGGTGACGTGCCGGGCTGGCCGGCCGGCGCCGCCTGCCCGCCCGCCCGCCCGCCCGCCGATGACCTGGCCAGCGCCTCTCGGCCGCGCAGCTGGCGTGTCGCCGCCAGGTGGCAGGTTAGGCCCGGCCAGCTCCCGGCGGTGCTGGCGGCCCGGTGTCCGATCGGCGGCAGCTGGCGGAAGCCGACGGCGGCCACCCGGCTCCCACCATACGCCGCGCGGCCGTTACCTACGTGATGGCGTCATACGCTGACCGGGTGGCTGGCTCCGCACTCCACTGGCGGCACCGGGCCGTCATCACACAGGCAGGCGGCGGCCACACCCAAAGCCCAGCCGCGCCGGCTGCACGCTGGGGTGGGTGTGTCTCGGCGCTGCCTGAGCGCACGGTCGCGTTCTCCCTGCCATGGCCGCTGCGGCGGCCGATCAGGTCACACCCGCACCGTACGCAGCGGACCGGACCGGACCGGACCGGTCAAGAGGTGCCGGGCTCGCGGATCGGCTGACCGGGCTCATAACAGGACTCCAAGGCGGACGCCACGCCCGGCCGGTCGCGTGGCCTTCGGGTCAGGGCAGCCGTTACGCCGGCGGCGGTCCGCCCGCCCTGCCCACGCCCATCGCCGATGTCCGACTTTACCTCAGTCAACCAGGTCTGGTCTGGTCTGGTCTGGTCTGGTCTGGTCCGATTTGATCGGTCCGGTCCAGTCCGGTCCGGTTCATGGCAGCCTGCTTCGGGTGGCCTGGGTCCTGGGGCGTGCGGCCGGTCGGGAGAGACGCCGCTCTATCCCGGCCCTGCAGCCGGCCACCACGTGCGCCGCCGCCGGCTGCTGCTGCGCGGCGGCTATTTCGACCAGCCGGCCGGCCGCCTTTGTCTGAAGTGGGCGGGCCGAGCGCCGCAGTGCCGACGCCGAGCGCGGCACTGCGCACGTCCGCGTGGCACGCCCGCGCGTGCCACCGGCGCGGGGAGGCGGGCGGACCACCGGGCCCCGCCGCCGGCCGGGGCATCACGTCCTGTTGTGTTCGGGCCAGTAGCGGCCGTGTCCAGTGTCGACCGGCCAACGGCCGCCGGCCGGGGCATCACGTCCTGTTGTGCTCGGGCCAGTAGCGGCCGTGCCCGGTGTCGACCGGCCAACGGCCGCCGCCGGGGCCGCCCTCGGCACCCGGCGGGCTGGCAGCACCATCCGACTGCGCTCGGGCCTGCTGCTGGTGGCCTGGCGGCGTCGGCTCGGGTCGTTGGCATCGATGGCGTTCCGGCCGTTGCGTCAGAGGCGACTGGGCGGCTGTAAGCCGCAGGAAGGGGGGTCGAGTGCAGGCCACGGAGCCGGCCGCTCACTGGGGCCCCGCAGTGAGCACGCGGCCAACAGCATTGCCTGCTCCCAGCTCCGGTGCCGGAATAAGTCGTGCAATAGTTTGTTTGGAAGACCTTGCAACTGCGATCGTGCTGTGATTTCGGGTGATGTGCATGGATGGGATATCAGACGATGCGCCCCATCCCACCCTGCCCTGCATTAAATACTCACCCTACACTGCCCTGCGCTATGTACCACCCTGAACTGCCCTGCTCTACATACCTACACCGCTGTGCCCTATTTACCCACCCTACGCTGCCCTGGCCTATTACCCGCCCTGTCCTGCCGTGCGCCGCCCGTCTAACCCTGTGTCGAACCCGTTTCAGTCGGAGGCGCGGCTGGCGGCCCGGCGCCAGGCGCGGGCAGAGGCGCGCGAGATCCGCATGCGCGAGCTGGAGCGACAGCAGCGCGAAGCTGAGCTCAATGGCGAGAAAATGGACGACTTCGCAGGTGAGTGTCGCCAGCTCGTGCTGCGGCCGGCCGAGACCAGCGCGCCAGCGGACACGACACTGTAGCGGACCATTTCTGTGATGAGCTGGTCTGCCGAGCTCCTGCCTACATGTACACATGCCGGGTGGGGGCCGACCACGTCTTACCGGCACCAGCACCAACTTGGGCTTCCTGTGGGATCTGCGCGGCTCATCGTCTCCGAGCACCGGTGAACAGCCGGCCCTGTCAGTCCAACTGGGCCTCCAGGCATGCCGGCATTAATTCTCCACTAGTTGCCGACCTCGTGGTCCAAAATTTAGTATTCCTAGTCTGCGGCATTCGTGCGGCCGTGTAGCTATTTGAAATCCCTGCCATGTGAAGTACCAAGTACGATCAACGCCACTGCGGTCAAGGCCAGACTTGGGACCACAATCCTCTCTGTCCGACTTGGGTCTCGATGGTTTGCGCAGCACGCGGGCTGAAGATGTGACGCGTATGTTATCAGTTCTCCGTTCCTGTTTGACTGAGAACAGTCACTTGCGGCTCCAGGCCAAGTAACAAGCATCTCACTCAGCACCGTTAGGTGACGCGGCAGCACCGACTGGCCAGGTTCAGTGTTGGTTTTGTTTGTTCTTCCTGCTTGGTGACGGTGGAGGCAAAATGTTACCTACACAACCTACACAACCTGTAGGTCGGTCTGCCGCTCCCACCCACATTGGTGTCTGGGATCCGGCCCAACCATAGCTGAGAAGAACCCGCCGCCTGTCCTATTGGGCCGTTCGAGTTGGCGGCTGCAGGAGGCGGTCGATCAGCGTGTGCCGCCGGCCGACGGCACACGCACATCGTATCGAAACGCATCTCAGATACAAAACCACACGTACGGACCGTTCTAAAACATATGCCGGCGTTGTTTTCACCTTCGTGCGCGGCCAAGACTCACGGCCATCCACGCTACCCGCGTATTTGTCCGTATATAAGGTAGAGCTCCTCGGGATTAGTGGGGCACTCCACAGTGGACACGAACACAACATGACATCCGACGTCCCTTAAACTCAAACCATCATCATCATCATCATTATACAGGTGGACGAAGATGCTTTGCACGAAGGTTTATCTGACTCACTGGTGAGTATCTTGTCATTAAGACGTTTTAATCTCACAAATCTCCTTGTAAAGGACATTTTGTTGCGTCTTGACTCCTAAAGCCAGGCCGGCAAAATCATAGCAATGTGCTGGATTCCAGACTGAAAATAATTGAGCGGCTTACCTAGGATTTGCAGTCATCCTATCGGAAGTCAGGGCGGAGGGGCAAGTCATTCTAAGCCGGTGGTGGATCGGCCATAGCCACTTCGAACGTCGCATCGAACGTCTCTTTGAATTCCTGTCGTGTTAGCTCCTGTTTGATTCATACACCAACTCAGGTCGTTTGCGGCGCATGATAGTCGCTGTAAATTTTCGAACAACATTAATAAGCACATGCGGTATGGGCACCATATGACTGCGCAGTCTGAGCGCCTTAAAGCCCCAATAAACACTACTACTACTACGGCCGCCGGCGGGCGAGCCCAGCCTCCGTCATCTGGACGGCGGGCGGGCCCAGCCTCCGTCAGCTGAACGGCGGGAGGGCCCAGCCTCCGTCATCTGGACGGCTGGCGGGCCCAGCCTCCGTCATCCGGACGGCTGGCGGGCCCAGCCTCCGTCATCTGGACGGCTGGCGGGCCCAGCCTCCGTCATCTGGACGGCTGGCGGGCCCAGCCTCCGTCATCCGGACGGCTGGCGGGCCCAGCCTCCGTCATCTGGACGGCTGGCGGGCCCAGCCTCCGTCATCTGGACGGCTGGCGGGCCCAGCCTCCGTCATCTGGACGGCTGGCGGGCCCAGCCTCCGTCATCTGGACGGCTGGCGGGCCCAGCCTCTGTCAGCCGGACGGCTGGCGGGCCCGGCATCCGTCAGCTGGACGGCTGGCGGGCCCAGCCTCCGTCATCTGGACGGCTGGCGGGCCCAGCCTCTGTCAGCCGGACGGCTGGCGGGCCTGGCATCCGTCAGCTGGATATGACTGAGGCGGGCGGCCGGCGCTGTTCTCCGCCCGTCAACAGCTATCGAGATCATCGGCTCCGAGCCGTCCGGACCTGGCCACCACTCGGACCTGACCATCATTCGGACCTGGTCACCTGCCGCCGCTCACGGACGCGTTGGCAGTGATGCTGTGGTATGAGCAAGGCGTATGCAGATCAAACGGGGCACTGCCGGTATAGGTCGGGCTCTGGACTCTGAAGTCTGGGCTCTGGGCCCAGGGCTCGAGGCTTTGGGCTTTGGGCTCTGGGCTCTGGCTCTGGACTCTGGGCTCTGGGCTCTGGGCTCTGGGCTATGGGCTATGGGCTCTGGGCTATGGGCTCTGGGCTCTGGGCTCTGGGCTCTGGGCCCAGCGCTCTGGGCTCTGGGCTTTGGGCTTGGGCTCTCACTATATCTTGGTGATGCGGTCACACGCGGTTTTTATCCCGCACAGTATGCGATGGTTGTAAACGAATATGAGTCATCCCGATTTGTGAATGTCCTGCTGCAGACTGTCGCTGTTTGTCCGCACCGCTTCACGACTGCGCCAGTTTTCCGAAACTTGTGGTTCAGTTCCGCGTGGGCGGCTGCGTGTCGTGGCTGCTTCGCCGCGCTGCGGGACGTGTGGCAGCCCTCCAGCGGCCGCGATAGCGGCCGGCCGGGCTGTGGCAGTGTCGGCGGCGGGCGCCGGCTATTTCGCTGTCGGACCGGCCGGGCTGTGGCAGTGTCGGCGGCGGGCGCCGGCTATTTCGCTGTCGGACCGGCCGGGCTGTGGCAGTGTCGGCGGCGGGCGCCGGCTATTTCGCTGTCGGACCGGCCGGGCTCACTTGCGGTCCGCCTTCCCTGCGGTCTCGAACGCTGCGGCTGCCGTTTCGGGCCCGTCACACAGACAAAGCCAGACCAAGCCAGACCAGAGTGGATCAGACCAGGGCCGCAGCACTAGCAGAGCTGCGCTCGGCGGGTGAGCCGCAGCAGGGTCAGCCCCGCCACGCTGTCCAGGCAGCTGTGAGACAATGTTTGCCGCGTCACAGCCGCACTTTCCTGGCAGTGACGTCATGCCTGGCTCCGTCACGGCTGGGCGGCGGCCTCCGAGACGCCGCTGAGCGCAGCGGGCCGCTCTCCGGCTGTCTCGCCCCGGCACTGGCAACGGAGGCCGCCGGCTGGCTCGTGCCGGCGCGGATGCGGGCCACGCGGGGCCTCACTGGTCAGAGCACCCGTTCCGGCTCAATGGCGAGTGGCGAGTCCTGTTTCGCCTGGAGTCGATATCCCGTGATGCTACCTGGCTAAGCTTTAAAACCGAGCCGCCTTACATTCGAAGGACAGAAATCGCTTCATCAGCAAGTCAGGGATGGATCAACATAACTTGTTTGATCTATGCCCTCGGTAGTGTAGGGTTCGCTAGACTTCATGCGAAGGTCCCATACATAGCTGGTGGACAAGACTGATGCAATGCTATTTCTGATGAGATACTCCTGTTTTTTTGTTTTTTATTCAGACATCATCGGTGACGACTCTTGCATTCTTGCCATGGCTTAGCTGTTTTCATTTTTGACTAATATAGGATTTTTAGCGATTTTCACACCTAGGTCATCGCTTAACTGTAATGGGCGCAAAATGACAGTAGTCGGCGCGCCCCAAAACCCCAATCAATAAACAACAGGCCGGCGCTGACAGCTGCGTGATCACGCGCGGCCGAATCCACCGCTGAACAACGGCCGACTGATCGCGTGGCCTGCTGGTCTCTCTTCGTCAGTGGGGCGGTGTGGTATGTGTATCGAAGCGCAGCTGGTCTGCTGGGGTCCGCGTGGGGCGAGGCGTCATGTGTGCCGGAGCTGCAGCAGGCCCGCCCGCTGCTTGTTTTCGTCGGACTGTGCCGCCTTCAGTGGTAGTGCCACGTTCGGGTCTGCCGGCCAGCCAGCCGGCTCGGGCGCCGCCTGATAGGGCACGACCGGGCCTATCGCCGCGTGTGGCGCGTGATAGACGGCCCAGATAGCTCTGAGCCGAGGCCGCCCCGACCACCAGGGTACCGTCTCATCACACCTGCTCTGACGTCCGAGACCGCCCCAGCCACCAGGGTGCCGTCCCATCACACCTCTGACGTCCGAGACCGCGCCGACCACCAGGGCGCCGTCACATCCAGTGTCCTAGAATTGCCGACTTTGGGTGTAAAGCAACACCCTATAAGGAGGAATTTTTCACTCCTTTTCCCCATATTTTATGTGAATTTTTCACGCCTGCCTGCCATTTTCTAATCGCACATGCCAGACCCCTATTTCCCTTTCTGAGGTTTTCAGATGTCATCCAAAACCGGGCGCACTTGAAACCGCCAAGCATAAATGAGGCTCCGCAGAACCTGGACACCAATGGCTATGTCCTGCCTCGCCTAAATCTTAATCATGTCTATGTATGCACAGAGCAGGGGCGCCAGGTACCTCCAAGCCCAAGAACCCCAGCGACCCCAGCCGCTCGCACGCATTAAGTTTGGTTTGTTTACAAAATGCATCACGATATGCAGCTGTGCGCCAAATGCAAGGCTTTCACGCATCCCCTATTTTTTTGGTCTCACCACCACACCACGAAAGCAGAGCCTGGCACAAACACCAACAAGGCCTGGCAGAGAATTTTACTCCACGTACTTCTCTTTTCCCTAGGAAACTTGACCACTAAATTGCATCACTCCCGAAATGCATGAGTGAAAAGTTCAAGAAATGTCTTCAGAATTATACTTAAATGATGAACATCACCATTTGAGCACTTATATTAACAGATTTTAAGTTAGATCAGGTGATAACAAAATTTTGCGAAAAAAGTACCAGTCTTTATATTCATTTAGCTGCTTTTGTTTTTCTTGGTATCATACCAGTGTCATATCACTTTATTCTTCCTTCCTTTTCGATTGCCTTTAGATGTACTATCTGCTGCTTAAAATTTTGACCAATTTCTCTGCAAGATGTTCCAACTGCATACTTGT